AGGTGGAATGTAAAGAAAGATTCTTGCCTTTTCCTTTTTTCCTGTCTCTTTCTTCTTCTTTGATGAAAAAAAATAAGGAGAAATAAACTTCTTTTTTAATTTTCTGAATGATGATTGACTTTACAAAGAATGACTTATTTATAGCCTCTGGTCCCTAGAAATCTTATCTAATTTCCACTTTTATTTCGGAACTAACTATTAAAAGATATAACAGAATTTATAATAAAATGACATATGACAGTTTTCCCCCCATGAAAGCAGATCTTGTCCTCAAGGTCTAGTCAACGTGGAAGTCAATCAAAGCTTGGATGTTGGTGCTGTAATTCTTGAAGCTCGTGCCACGTGGCATCTTCCGGATTTGTAAATTCCCATTGTACTAGAACTTCAGTGACAACTTTATTGTTCTTATTCTTCATGCGTCTATCTAAAATTGTCATGGGTTGTAGAGTGACTTCTGCATCTTCATTAAATGCTGGTAATTGAAGGAATACCTGGTGATGTCCATGATGTTGCTTTAAAAGACTCACGTGGAACACGTCATGTATTTTGGTTCCAGCAGGTAACTCAAGTTTGTAAGCCACTTTTCCTATTCTCTCTAATACTTTATATGGCTCAAAGTATCTAGCTGCAAGCTTATGAAAGGCTGAATTAGCTAGGGAATGTTGTCGGAATGGTTGGATCTTTAAGTAAACCATGTCTCCAATAGAAAATTATTTGTCAGTTCTGTTCTGATCGGCATAAAACTTCATTCGTTCTTGAGCTTTTGTCAAATTGGTGTGCAACAGCCTGGAAATCTGATTTCTAGTCTTCACAATAAAGTCCACTGCTTCCACTAGACTGCCTTCTATTAATGTTGGACAAGGTAGTGGAGGTTTGTAGCCATACAAGGCCTCAAAGGGGGTCATCTGAATAGTTGCATGAAACTTGGTATTGTACCAAAGTTCAGCAAAGGACAGGTAGGTGGTCCACTATTTAGGTGTATCGCCTGTGATGCATCTTAAGTATCCCTCTAAGGTTTTATTTAATGCCTCAGATTGTCCATCAGTCTGAGGGTGGAATGTTGTAGATCTCAACAGCTTGACTTTATGGAATTTGAACAATTCATTCTAGAATGTACTCAAGAAGATAGGGTCTCTATCAGAAATAACTTCCTGTGGCCAGCCATGTAAATTTACCACGGTTTCCATGAATTTAGTAGCAACTACAGCAGCACTAAAGGGATGTTTTAATACTATGAAATGTGCATATTTTGTGTATCTATCTATAACCACCAAAATTACTGAAAATCTGTTTGACTTGGGCAGCCCTATAATGAAGTCCATTGTTATTGATTTCCAGACCCCTTCAGGGATTGGTAAAGGTTGCAACAACCCTGCTGGAAGTTGAGGCAATGATTTGAATCTCTGGCATGTGTTACATTCCTTTACCCATACTCTTACCTCTTTCTGTAATCCTTTCCAGTAAAAATGTTGTTTTATTCTTTTGTAAGCCTGATCAATTCCAGAATGTCCTCCGATTGGGGAATCATGAAATGGGCTAAGAATTGTCTATCTAAGTTGTTTATCTGCACCTACTACTAACTTCCCTTTTCTTTTGAGTAAATCATTGGTATAACTATAGTGTTTGTGAGGGCCTCCTATCAGTCTGATTCTGTCAATGATCTTCTATAATTTGGGGTCTTGTTGCCAAGTTTGTTTTACTTTATTGACCAATTCATTTAACAAATGTGAGATGGTGACTAATTGTCCTGGAACACATTTTCTGGATAGAACATCTGCCACGACATTGTCCTTCCCTTTTTTATATTCTATACTAAAGTCCAACCCCATAAGCTGCTCTAAACCCCAATTCTGCATGAGGGTTGTAGGTGGTTGCTCAAGGAGATGCTTCAAAGTTTTCTGGTCTGTTTTTATTATGAAGTGATTCCTAAGGAAATAGTGGAGCCATTTCTTTACAACAAAAAGAATAGCATAAAATTCTTTCTCATACGCAGAAAGGAGTTGAAACTTAGGACCCATTGCTTTGCTAATAAAGGCAATTGGATGGTTATTTTGCAGCAGTACAACTCCTATTCCATAAGTTGATGCATCAGTTTCTATAGTGAAGGGTTGCTGAAAGTCAGGTAATGCTAGAACAGGTGCAGAAGTTAATGATTGTTTGATGTTGTTGAATGCCTCCTCAGCTTTTTGTTCCCAAATGAAGGTTGTGTCTTTCTTCAACAAAGCAGTTAATGGAGAAGCCATTTTGCCATAGTTTCGGATGAACCTTCTGTAATATCATGAGAGTCCCAAGAAGCCTCTATGTTCCTTCACAGTAGTTGGTCTTTTCCATTTCTGAACAGCCTCTATTTTACTTATATCAGGAGCAACACCTTCCTTAGATTATGTGGCCTAAATATTCGACCTGCTTTGTGCCAAAATTGCACTTCTTGTAGTTTAATGCCAATGTATTTGCCTCCACGATTTGAAGAGTTTGCTCGAGACAATGGATATGATCTTCCCACTTTTTTGTATAAACCAAAATGTCATCAAAGAACACAAGGATAAATTTCCTTAGATGTTCTCTAAACAAGTCATTCATGAGGTTCTGAAATGTGGCAGGGGCATTGCTCAGCCCAAATGGAAGCACTACGCATTCATAGTGTCCACTATGAGTTCTAAAAGTTGTCTTGTGAATGTCATCTTCAGCCATTCTGATTTGGTTGTACCCACTCCTTAGATCCAACTTGGTAAAGTAAGTAGCTCCTTTTAATTCATCAAGTAGGTCTTCAATTAATGGTATAGGAAACTTATTCTTGATAGTGGCAGCATTTAACTTTCTGAAATCAGTACAACATCTCCAGGATCCGTCTTTCTTCTTCACCAACACCAATGGTGCAGAAAATGAACTACAACTCTCTCTTATAAGTCCAGTGGATAACATATGCTTCACCTGTCTTTCAATCTCCTCTTTTTGTGCTCAAGGATATCTGTAAGGCTTCAAGCAAATAGGCTTCTCATTTGTGAGCTCAATTTTATGATCATATTTCCTGTTAGGTGGTAATTGAGTAGGTTCAACAAACAAGCTACTGTATTCTTATAACAGGTTCTCCAATTCCGGCTGTTGTTGTTCATCCAAATCACCAGTATTTTCAGGTATTATGATGTTAAAACAGAGAGGACCAATGATAGGAAATAACATTGCCTGAATATCAATTGCTTTAAGTTTTCCACTATCCTGTAGCAGTAACTTGTTCTGCGTCTCTCCTTGTAATGTTATAGTGTTCCCTTCATGCTGGAATTTCATGGTTAACTTAGCACAATTCCAAGCAATTTCACCCAATGTTCGAAACCATTGCATGCCAAGGATTATGCCAAATGTTGTGCCTGGTAATACTAGAAAATCTGCTGTAAAACTGTGTGCACCAAATTTCCAAGTTAGCTTTTCGCATTTCCTTGAGATCGTAATAGGTGTGTCACTAGCAACTACAACTGGAAAATCTTTAACAGGTTGAGTTTTTAAGCCCAGTAACTTCACCCACTTAGCACTTATGAAGTTATGAGTGCTTCCGGTGTCCATTTGGAAAGGTACTGCCTGTTTTTTAATGAGACCTTGCAACTGAAGTGTGTTGCCACCTGCTATACCCCTCAAAGCATGTAAAGAAACATGCACATTATCACTATGCAACATTGCTAAACTGTTTTCTACTATAGATTCATCATCTTCATCTTCACTAACATCTATGTTTTCTTGATTGAAGTTTTCTTGGGCACAAAATATCGCATTTAATTTTCCCCAAACTTTACATCTCGATCTATGATTTTTCTCCCACTTTTCACCACAAAATCTACACAATCCTTTGGAGATTCTCTCACTAGCCTCTTTTGTAGATGAAATAGAAGTTGAGCTTCCCTTAGAGTCTGAATAAGCTTGATTAGTAGTGGAATTCTGAGAGTGATTTTGTAGTGTTGTGATGGGTGGATTTCTGGATGTGAATGGTTGATTAAGCCATGGTCTTGTGTAGCAAGGTTGCACATTGGAAGTAGTGATTTCTCTGTAGAGATCTTCTTGTCTAATTCTTTATTAATATCACCCTGTAATCGTGCTAGACGTATTGCTTCTTGGATGGATTTGGGGTTATGAAGACGAACTGATTTCTCTAAATGGCTTTCCAAACCTGCGAGGAAGAAACTGAGAGCCATGCCTTCAGATATCACCGCACACGCTAGCAAAGAATCAAATTTTTCAAGATATTCAGGCAAAGATTCTTGTTGCCGTAAACGCGAGATTTCAGCAATAGGGTCATCATAGGCTCCATCATCAAATTTGTTTCCTACATCAAGCAAGATATCGATCCAAGATTTCGACCTGAAGATGGGGTTTTTGATGTAATGTCGTTGCCATGCAAAGGCGTTGCCTTCCATGGATAACAGGAGCAGTTTCCCTCTTTGGTTCACTGGTGTTCCTTCTAATTCAAAAAATTGCTCTGCCTTGGCTCGCCAAACCCTAAAGTTTGTGCCATCAAAACTGGGAAATTGAAGTTGTGTGCGATGTAATACTGACGTAGTAGATTCGCTTTCATCGTCGTTCGGAGGTGGAATGTTAGTTCCCGCTGTTAACGCCGCCATGGAAGCTGCTAGAGTCTCCATAGTTTTCTGCATCGCCAGCAATGTCTTATTCGTTTGTTCTTGTGAATCTGCAAGAGATTTCTCAAAGTATTCCACATGTGTTTCGAGTTCCTTGTTGATCACCATGATCGTTGCCTTTCAACTAATATCAATTGTAAAGAAAGATTCTTACATTTTCCTACTTCTCTCTTCTTCTCTGATGAACAAAGATGAACGAGAAACAAACTTCTTTTTTAATTTCTGAATGATGATTGACTTTACAAAGAATGACTTATTTATAGTCTTAGTCCCTAAAAATTTTATCTGATTTCCACTTTTATTTCGAAACTAACTATTAAAAAATAAAACATAATTTATAATAAAATTACATATTACATGGAACTATAGTTAGGCTTAGGGATAGTGGAATTGAAGTTGGGCAGCTTGGGGATAAGTTCCTCTGGAGGCAATGTAATACCCGTGACGTGTGGTGGGTGGGAGGCACGTGGGGGTAATTAATAGGGTGGATGATAGCTGGGTAGAGTTATTTTATAGGTGTGATTGGAACAGGAGGGTGGTGTTACACTTTAGGGTCAACATTATCACTCTCAAGAAAAGTGTGGGTGAGTTAATTGTTAAGTTGGGAAATGGATGGGCAGGTGAGTCAGAAGATTTAAAAAGATGGGTGGGTCAAGTGCACAGGTCAATTGTAATATTTTAGATCCAATACAACGGCAAACATGACTTCTAATATGAAATATAGTGTTCCATTCAAACTAGTATTTCCGAACTTTATATTTTTTTTTTGTCCTTCTGACTAAAGGACTAGTGACAATAGCAATAATCCAAGGTTAGTATTTTGTAATTTTGATGTTTTCTTTTTCTATCTTGATCTGAACATGATTTGATTTTGCTATATTATACCACTTATATTGATCTATTTCAAATTTGATGGATAATACCGTATTTAAGTTGATATCAATATGAATTTAACAGATTTCTTAAATGGAATAATCCATGGCCTTACCTATAATATAATTATTAGCATTTATTTTAAATTTTATTATTTTTTATTATTTTTTTATATGAGTCAAACTCATTCCCGACCCTCGCAATAGTATCAATAGAGAAAACGAAGTAACGTACCAGCATTAGATAAAGCCCTGCGACTCTCTCCTCCCAAATCTATGATTTCCATGAAAGTAAACACTTGAATGTGTTTGTTTTCTTGACCAACCACCTCTGATTTTTCTCCCCAAAGCAAAATTACAAACCTCATGGTAGTCCTTGAATAAAATGTGTTTGCAACCCGGTTAAACATTTCAGGGTTATCCACCACTAGTGCAACACTGAATAACAGTAGCATATGTCAGCAAACTAAACAATTCAGATTGAAAATTGAGCACTTCAAAAAAATGTGGAAACCAGTAGTTATATTGTTTAGGACAATTCATTAAAAACTGTTAGCTATTAAAATACACAAGCTTAAGCACAAAATGTGGATGTGCAAATATCAGCCTGAAGCAACATTATCATGTTATCTAAGATTCTTAAAGTTTTTGTTGACTAACCTTTCAGAGTGGTTGTATATTTGCAAAAGTTCTTCGTCTGATGACCTTGAGCCTCTTACCACATTGATTGCTCCACTTGCCATCATACCTAGACTAAAAATATAGCTTTGATATGATAAAAACCACAATTATCACAGACATACTACTAATGTATACTCCCATTTAGGATCAAAATGTCGAAATAGTTTACACCATAATATCACTTTTAGTATTAGAACAATAAAATTTCTTTAGAACTTAAACAACTACTCATGAGCTTATAAACACTGTAAATCTGCCACCAAGCTCAGCATATCAGATACGTGTAGATGTAAAAATTAAAAACTCATTTTCACCAAATGGAGGTAAGGTAACATCACAAAATATGCAAGTTTTGAAGCATGGGGGTAAATTTTAAGAACCATAACAGATAGTAACAGTTCCTTCCCACATATAGTTCATGAATACATACATAGTTCTCAAAATTTATAATTTAGTGTTTTAGATCATTGGTGTGAGGATCGATCCTTTGACTATTGTGCTTTTGGAAACAGTCCAATCATATTTTATGATTGTTATCTGTTTTTTATCGTAAAAGTTTGTACATGTAAGATTTGTGCAACTGGTCCTTCCTAGACTCAATACATTGAAAATGAAGAAAGTAAGATTTCAACGCACCTTGATCTGCTACAAGCCAACGACATGAATTGTCAGCAAAAAGCGCAAGCTTCTCTTCAGTTCTTACCCCTATAACTCTCAACCCTTCCGCAAAATCCAAAATTGCCTGCTCCAACTGAAATTTTGATACAGAACAAAGTATAAGATGTAAAAATATGAGAAAGCTCTCAAGTACTCCTAATAATCTTATCAGAATAATGAAGGCAACTTATGTTCTAGCGAGCATTCAAAATGGCAGATGCCAATTACAAGAAAGGAAGCTCCAACACTTAGAGGAGGCATCATGCCTCTCATTAAACACATTCTCAGGTACTAACAATGGTTCATCAGTGCTACACACCTAGTTTGGCATGCGCTGCACGAGCTAAATGTCTAAATAGAAAAATTTAACACACTATTGGATATAACTCTAATTCTTCCTGTACATGAACATTATAACAAACAAACCTTCTGCATTTACCATGCATATTCTCAAAGCAGTTTTTTTATTTATTGAACATGCATGAAAATCGACTATTTCATCTATATTCATCTCCGTTATTTCTATACAAACGAATCTTGGATAATTCAATAATGTTGCTTTTTCAATTTAAAGCTTAAATTTGATTTAGTAATAATGGCAAACAATTTGGAAACAATATACAAGGGGACAGCGTGTAGCTTTATGCTTTGTGTATAAAAGAGAACATAATATATGTTTATTTTCTAGAGATTTTTTTCAGGAAAAAAAAAAAACTGTTTACTAGTCTTTACACTTTCCCTGGCTTGTTAGGGACCACCAATTCTTTCTTGTATACGACTTTAAAAGAAATATGTACGTCTTAGTACACATGTGATGGTCACTATACTAGAGAAAGGGAGCCAAAGCTTCTAGCATACCTCATAATTTAAAACAATTTCGCCAATGGCACAGAACATCACGGGACAAATTTACCTGTTTGTAAGTCATAGTTGTGGGAGGATGATGATATGGATCTACTAAGGCTACATTATCACCATACTTCTCCGCAGAAGATCTCCAAATATCAGGAACTACTTTCCATTCGTCTGAGCCCACACCACCTTTATCACCAAGTAATGAACTTTCTAGAATAGGAGCGCACCTTCTTATCTCCAGTGACTCTGTCTATATGCACAAGAATATCATAAAGAAAAAATGGTATCATTCTTTGCAGTCTCTAAACACACTTGCCAAATTGTTTGTCCTATTTATTTGACACACACGAGAGATATCTTGCCTAATTATTCTTTTTGTCTCACATGCTAAAACATGTCTGAACAATTTATAGAGAGGTAATTGGATCAGATCCATTTCATACCCGCCTTAACAGATTGCCATGATATTCAAAGCAAAAAATATGGATTTAACTCGTCTAAGATGAATGACGATAAAGTAAAGCACTCTTAACCGATGACATTCTAAGACATTCATAACTTTTCATGCTTAGTTTTAAAAAGGTAAGATACACATGAACATGTTGGAGCAAACGGGTGGCCAAGAATTACCTCCGATCGGCAAAATACGCGAAAATGGGAGAGTGGAGAAGAGGGGGCAGAGGCAGCACCATACTTTCTATGAGAAAATGTGATCCTGGTGAAATTGCTGTGTGAGAGGAAGAGGGGAAGTGCATTATGAGGATGAGAGAAGGTCCAGGTATGGTTGTAGGTGATGGCAGTTATGGCCATTTGGTGATTATCCGAAGAATGAAAACACAGAGAGAACCATAAAAATGCAGAAGAGTGGCCTAAGACATTGTGGCAAGAAAATGATTAACGGATAAAGAGACAAGAGTAGTGGTGGCTCATTGTAGATGTCGAAGACAACTAAATTTTCAAAGTATTATTAGTTACTAATTAAGCACCGTTTTGTTCGGTGTATATGGGTAGTATCGACCATAAATTGGACCACTCATTCGTGCCAAGGCACATCACATTACACACCACGACAACTTGACATAGTAGGACGAAATCAATAAAACAAGACTTTTCTTTATATTGATTGATATAATGTTTGGTTTATTTGTTTGATAAATTAAATAAAAAATAATTAGTTTAAGAGATGGTTGGGATAAAATTAAATAAAAAAAAGATAATTAAGAGTTTGTTTGGACATTTTGATTTTTGTTAATATCGTTGATATTTTCGGTGATTAGTATTTGATTATGAGAATTTTTATTTCCTAAGATAAGATTAGGATTTTGTGGTAGTATTTAAATGCACCATTATATTTCTTAGTGAGGTATGATAAAGAATCAATAATATATAATTTAGAAAAAAAAATTATTATCAAATTGGTATTAAGAGTTAGGGTTATTCAGAAGAGTTCACTACTAGAAAAATGTCAAATAGTAACTAGAAATCGATGATCGAAAAATTTAGTTACTAACAGATGACCGAATTAGTAACCAAATTATAATTTTTTAGTTTAGTAACTGAAATAGTAACCGAATTTTCGGTCACATAAAATCTGTTACTATTTCAGTCACTTTATTATTTAATTTATTTACATTTGATTTATGTAATTATTTTTGTTTTTCAATTATCCCAAATTTTCTTCATCTTCTTCTTCGCGTATCAACCACACTTGTTCAACCTTAACCTAGATCCTTCATCTCTGCATCTCCAAGCGAATTCGAACCTCAACCCCAGCCTCAACCTCGACGAACTCGAGACCCAAACCCAACTCCGACGGCGTCGAACCCCAATCCGAGGCGAAACCCAGCTGACCTCGAACCCTAGCCCAAACCTCAACGCCCTTGAATCCAAGCGACCCGCAACCGTGGCGACATCAAACCCTAACCTAAGCCTCGGTGAACCTACCTTGACGACCTCAGTTCCAACCAAAACCCATGAAACCTCGTGTTAGAACCCTAACCTTGACGAACTTGAATCCTAACTCGATTACCTCAAATCCCATCCCAAAACTTGACGACCTTTAACCCAAGCATAGGACATCACGAACACGGCCTCTATAAACACGGTAATGCTTCTTCAATCCATTTGAATTTCCTTATTCAATCTAGTTTTACATGGTATGTTTTTTATATGTGTTAATGGATGCATGGGTGGTGCTACAAAAGCAAATTTCTTATCTTGATTTACTTGGATTGCAAATTGAAAACTTCGAGTAATAGCTCCTTTAGGTTGGTATTACTCGAATCTTTAAATATAATTAAGGCCACAATGTTAAATTTCTTGGATTACAAATTGGAAACTTGAGTAATAACTCATTTAGTACATGTTTCCCTATTTGCTCTGTTCGTTTGCTTGATGAGTTTTTGTTATCTTCTTTGATTTATGATTGGAATTATGATGAAAATGTGAAAATAGATATATTGGTTGGGCTAAGAGTTTGTAAGTAATCTGGTTTAGTGAAGTGTGTAAGAGGGTTTTCTCTAATACGGTTAAGACCATCATGGCAATACATACTAAATTACTAATGAATAGAACAATTAAAAAACACTTAAAGGTTACGTTGCTTTCATGGTTTTGTAATACTGAAATAAATGCCTAACTTATAAAAATCATAGAAAATAATTCACTGATCCAATTGTATCCTTTTTTATGTTTTTATCCAATTCACTACTATTCTATTTTAATGTTTATAGGCAGAGTTTAGTCGTGCCTGGGAAGAAGCCTCTCAATCAGGATCTATTGCAGGAGGTACTCCGCCTGATGAATTAGAGGTTTGGTGTAAAGTTGCTGGAATAAACAAAGGCAAAGTATATGGGCTTGGATCTGAGTCAAGCAAAGCAATTGGGAGAAATCTTTGTCACGACTCTAGTTCATCATCTGTCCAGCTTATGAGGGAGGAGATTGAACAATTAAAAAACAAGTTACTGGAAGTTCAGACTGAAAGGGATGATCTCCGTGAAAGAATGTTAACTAATGAGAGAAAAATTCAGAAAAATGATAAAATGTTGCTCCTCTTGATGGAGAAGATGGATGTTCTACCTCCTGAATTGTGAACTGATTCTACTATGTATATTGTATTTGTTTTGTTAGTAGCTGACATTTTTAGAATTATGACTCTTACTTTAGTTTATCCTAGTTACTTTTTTATATTGAATTTTCAATATGTAAGAAAGTATTTAATTCATGAATGATGACTTTATTTAGAACAAAATTTGTGGTATTATTTTGATGGTTATCTTATGTAGTAAAATTTTCATATATTTAATATAATATATAATGTATCATAGGTTTATCGTTATTTTAATAATTCATTAATACGTTTTTGATTCTTTAACAGAATCTATGATAACGTTTATATCAATTAAAACACTTTACAAAAAATTTTCTAAGTTGATTTAATCGATTGTTTTGTGATTCAATCGACTTAAATACTGCAAAACTTTCTTGTACAACTTTTCAAGTTATTTTAATTGATAAAAATAAGTTTTAATGGATTAAAACGTCTGTGTAGAACTGTTTTAATCGATTGAAAGGAGATTTAATCGATTAAAGAGTTCTGATCGGTCATAATTGCATTATGACCGATCATAATAGAAAGGATATCATAGCGGTTCTAGGAGAACCGCTATCTAAGTGAAGTTTTAAAAGCGGTTCATGTGTAACCGCTTTCTAAAACATATTTCGCTTGAGCGAGAATCTTCTCGCTCGAGCGAAACACCCTGCACAGAATTGGCAATCTCGGGTGTGTTTCGCTTGAGCGACATGTTTCTCGCTCGAGCGAAAAACTGTCAGAATCTGTTTTAATCGATTGAAACGAGATTTAATCGATTAAAGAGTTCGATCGGTCATAATTGCATTCTGACCGATCATAATTGAAACGATTAGATAGCGGTTCCAGGTGAACCGCTATCTAAGTGAATTTTTATAAGCGGTTCCCGTGTAACCGCTTTCTTAAACATATTTCGCTTGAGCGAGAATATTCTCGCTCGAGCGCAAACACCCCTGAACAACATTGGCATTCTCGGGTTGTATTTCGCTTGAGCGACTATAATCTCGCTCGAGCGATGGTGCAACCGCTATTAGAAGTAAATATAAACATTTAAATATATAAATATATATAAATATGTAAAGATATAAACATATATCTTTAATATTTTGTAAATGTAAATATAATTTATATATTTTTTTAAATCTTTTTCTAATATTTATTTTTAAAAATATAATATTATTTTTAAAATTTAATATTTTTTTTAAATATATAAATATATAAAGATATAAATGTATAAGGATATAAATAAATGTATAAATATATAAATATATTAATATATAAATATATCAATATATCAATATATCAATATATATATATATATATATATATATATATATATATATATATATACAAATATATCAACCTCCCGAATGATAAAATGTTGCTCCTCTTGATGGAGAAGATGGATGTTCAACCTCCTGAATTGTGAACTGATTCTACTATGTATATTGTATTTGTTTTGTTAGTCGCTGACATTTTTAGAATTATGACTCTTACTTTTAGTTTATCCTAGTTACTTTTTTATATTGAATTTTCAATATGTAAGAAAGTATTTAATTCATGAATGATGACTTTATTTAGAACAAAATTTGTGGTATTATTTTGATGGTTATCTTATGTAGTGAAATTTTCATATATTTAATATAATATATAAATGTATCATAGGTTTATCGTTATTTTAATAATTCATTAATACGTTTTTTATTCTTTAACGTAATCTACGATAATGTTTATATCAATTAAAACACTTTACAAAAAATTTTCTAAGTTGATTTAATCGATTGTTTTGTGATTCAATCGACTTAAATATCGCAAAACTTTCTTGTACAACTTTTCAAGTTATTTTAACTGATAAAAATAAGTTTTAATGGATAAAAGGGTTTCTAATAATTCATAAAGGAGATTTTCTATTTTTATAATTCAATTAGATGATAAATATAGAAATATACTTTTTGTGGTTGTTGAAGATATTTTTTTTCTATTTTCTTCTCCATTAATTCAAAGTTAAATAAAATGAAATAAAAAAGTTATTATTCTTTGTTTTAATATTCATTATTTTTCTTTTTATTTCTAATATAAATTCTATTGGATATTTATAGAATAATACTAAAGATTTTCATTAGATTAGTTTACTTAATTCATGAGTTGATTAAGAAGTCTGTTGATTTGGAATCACAGGATGGGTAAAACGCTGTGCAGAAACTGTTTTAATCGATTGAAAGGAGATTTAATCGATTAAAAGAATTCTGATCGGTCATAATTGTATTATGACCGATCATAATAGAAAGGATATCATAGCGGTTCTAAGTGAACCGCTATTTAAGTGAAGTTTTAAAAGCGGTTCATGTGTAACCGCTTTCTAAAACATATTTCGCTTGAGCGAGAATCTTCTCGCTCGAGCGAAACACCCCTGCACAGAATTGGCACTCTCGGGGTGTGTTTCGCTTGAGCGACATTTTTCTCGCTCGAGCGAAAAGCTGTGCAGAAACTGTTTTAATCGATTGAAACGAGATTTAATCGATTAAAAGAGTTCTGATCGGTCATAATTGCATTCTGACCGATCATAATAGAAAGGATATCATAGCGGTTCTAGGTGAACCGCTATCTAAGTGAAGTTTGAAAAGCGGTTCCTGTGTAACCGCTTTCTAAAACATTTTTCGCTTGAGCGAGAATAGTCTCGCTCGAGCGAAAACACCCCTGCACAAAATTGGCTTTCTCGGGT